CAAAAATCTTATTTACTTTACATACAACAATAGTTTAGTTATATATTATAGACTTATAGAAAGAGATCTTCTAAAAACGTTAAAATGTATTACTGGCACGTGAAACCTTAAATTAGAGTGAATAAATGAAGACTCGCCACACCACTTCTGAAAGGCTGCCGACCCCTGGTCTAATGAATGTGACTCACCTCTGACTTAGAGCTTGAACCTAAGCCCATGACAGTCAGTGGCAAAACCGTCAGTGGCTTCAGTGTGCGCAGGATCAAACCCTTAGAGAGAAGCTGCCTAAGAATGAGAGAGGAGTTCAGTCTGTTTATTCGGGCCTTCATCTCTCCTACTGAGATTGTCAGCAAAAGAAGGTGATTGCAGTGGTGGGTTTTGTGATATAGATAAATGTCCACTAAGATCTAGACTATGACTAGCAGCTCCTTTCAAGGTCACAGAACTGTGAAGTGGTAATGGCAATGACTTCTGGGCAGTACTGACCTGCACTAAATCCAAACTAGCGCTCTAGAACTGATTCATTATTTTCTTGAATAAACAATACCTACATTGTGTCTGCAGTTACCTGTGACACTTTCCTGTTACCCCGCTTTTTCAGTCGAATGAAACAAACACTGGTGCTTAACTTAAGGACATGTGTACACGACAATCTTAAGTCGACCTCTGTTAGGTCGACATACAGCCATCACAGTAATTACTCCTTCTCCTTTCAGTGATGCCCGTCCTCACCAGGAGTGCTTCCACTAGCTGAAGAGGGACAGGGGGCGGGGGGTGGTTTGAGAGCCAGGGCTCTCAGCTCTGTGCAGGCCCCCACTGGGGGCTTCTCTCCTTCGGCGGGGAGATCCATGCCCAGAGTCTGGTTGGCTGCAGTGCTCCCCGTAGGGAGCCAGGACAGCAGGGCTCCCAGCGGGGCACACCTGGGCTACAGCCCAAACCAGGAGCCTGGTTGACAGCCCAGCTTGGAACAGAGACCAGGGCTGGATTAACTCTCCTATGGGCCCGGGGCTATTAGATTTTGTGGGGCCCCTGTATACAAGTCTTTTTCCTTGGAGGGAGTTTAGTGCAGGAGGCAGGGGATTGGGGTGTGGGGTCTGGGAGGGAGGGTGCAGGAGGGGATTCTGATCTGGGGCAGGGGTTTGAGGTGGAGGAGGGGGTACGAGGTGCAGGTTCCAGCTGGGAGGCGCTTACCACAAGCAGCTCCCAGCCGAGGGCAGAGCAGGGCTCAGGCTGCCTGCCTGCCATAGCCGCTGCTAACACACACCTGCGCACCCTTTGGGGGGAAGGGGGCAGCGGGTTTCAGTACGCTGCCCATGCCTGCAGGTGCCCCCCCCCGTTGCTACAGGGAGCTGCGGGAACAGTGCTGGAGGCAGGGGCAGTGCACGGAGCCGCATCCCCCCCCTCCACTCCCCGCCCCGCCAGGGGCTGCAGAGACATGCCAGCAGCCAGCCGCTTCCAGGAGCGGGGTGGGGCTATGGCAGGCAGGCAGCCTGCCTGAGAGCCCCTTTTAGCAGCCCGGAGATCGCTGCCTGTGATTTATTTTTGCGGGGCCGCCCCTTGAGCCAAGGCTCTGGGCTGCAGCCTCTAAAGCCCCTGCCGGAGACCTGCAGCAGCCCAGCTGGGGAGCCAGGAGCCGGCTTTCTTGTCTATTTCATGGCTCAAGCAGAGCTATGAAATTAACAAGAATGACAGCCAACAGCCAATGTGAGGAACAGTGTCTACATAGACATTGAGTTGCCCTAGTTACACCGACATAAGCCCTACGCCTCTCATGGAAGTGGAGTTATTATGTTGGTGTAGTAGGGCACTTACATCGGCAGGAGCAAATCTGTAGTGTAGACACTGACGTAGTTAGGTCAACATAAGCTGCCCTATGTCGACCTAACTCTGTAGTGTAGTCCAAGCCTAATACTCACAATACATAATTCTGAATGTTACTCCTTGTTTGCTGTATTCTCTCGATTATCTTTATATTGCTTTTATGAAATAAGATATGTAAATACAGTGCAAGGTAATCATGGGCATGAAAATTACTGTTTCAATTTATTGGAAACGAATTCCCGATCTAGTAGAACAGACATTCAGATAAATCCAAGGTTTCAGAGTAGCAGCCGTGTTAGTCTGTATCCGCAAAAAGAAGAACAGGAGTACTTGTGGCACCTTAGAGACTAACAAATTTATTAGTCTCTAAGGTGCCACAAGTTACTCCTGTTCTTCTTTTTGCAGATAAATCCAAATTACTTGCCAATGTTAAAATATTTCCCACCTCCGCCCTTGTGCATAAAATCACTGCTCATTTCATTAATACAGTTAATGTCCTTGAGTTGGTATAAGATCGAATCTGTGAAAAATTCCACTTCTTTGAGTAGTGTCCCTATGGGTGCTTCATGACAGGGCATACTTCCCCAGGGGCAGATTCATCACAATGTCCAACTTTGTTTCAACAATCCAGTGGAGTCCACAAACCCCACTGCAAGGGCTTGCCTACAAATTCTGGGCCATATGGCAGCCTGTACATTCATAACTTCCCTAGCAAGACTTAACTCTTGGTGTCTTCAACCATATTTGAGAACGTCTACACACTCCCAACAGACTGTCGATCTCAGAAGGTCCTCGGTCATTTGAACTGGTGGGAGGACCCACAAAAGGTGGGGGAGGGGGAAGAGAGTTTCACTTGTACAGCCTGCTCCCATGAGGATTGTCACCACAGAAGTCTCCCTCATAGGCTGGGGTGCACAATTCCAAAGCCTTATAGCTCAGGGCAAATAGACCCCCTCCATATCAACATACTGGAGCTCAGAGGAGTCCATTATGCTTGCCAACACTTCCTGCCACACATCAAGGACCACCCAATCAGAATAATGCTGGACAACAGAGCGATGTTTACATCAATCAGCAAGGAGGAGCAAGATACCAGTCCTCATGCACCAAATCCATAAAACTATGGAACTGGTGTACGTCACATCGCATGCATATCTCAGGGGGTCATCTGCTGAACACAAACATAGATTCCCTCAGCAGACAATTCAGTGTCAACTACAAGTGGGAACTGAACAACAAAGTGTTCTGAGAAATACAGCTTGCCTGGGGCCATCCACAGGTGGATCTCTTCACAACTCCATTCAATGCAAAGAGCAGACGTCTACTCAAGGCGTGGGCATGACCACAACGCAGTGGGATATGTCCTAGTCATTACTTGGCCTCAAGGCCTGCTATGCCTTCATCCCCCATTACTGTTACTGTTTAAGTTCATAAAGAAATTGAGACAAGAGGAACTAGTAACCATCCTCATAGCACTGTCGTGGTTGAGACAGGCTGTGATTCCCGGAGCTGATTCACATATCCCTACAGTCTCTTCTCTGCCTTTCTCTGACCCCGATTCTCTTCACCCAGGTATCAGAATTGGTCCCCTCCCCCAGTTTCGCAGCACTTTGCCTCAAAGCATGGTTGTTTGATGGCCCTCTGGTATAGCTTTCCAGAAGTTCCATGGGTGCTGCTCAATATCAGAAATCACCCAACTAGAAAGTGTGGAAATGCCTCCAAGCTTGTTGCAACCATCAAGCTGTACTTCCTCTCAAATCCTCTGGCTCATATCCTCAGTTACCTGTCAAATTAAAGACTACAGGCTTATCGCTGAGCTCCATTAAAGTTCTTCTAGCTGCCATCACCACTTTTCACCCTCCCATACAAGGATTCTCAGTCTTCACCCACCTCAGCACTGCAAGATTTATTAAGGATCTATTTAACCTCTTCCTATCAAGGAACCAACTCTACCATGGGACCTCAGCTTAGTTCCCAGTGCTCTGAGGAAACCCCTCATTCAAACCTGTGGGGAGTTACTGCCTCCTTCATTTGTCCTTAAGACCTTGTTCAAATTAGCCATTACTTCGCCTAGGATGGGTGGGGAGTTTTGAATCCTTAACGGAGGACCCATCATACATGGTGTTCTTCCAAGATGAGGTGACTTTACATCCACATCCTCGCTTCCTCCCTAAAGTCTCTTCAGAATTCCGCGTTAATCAGGATATTCGCCCACCAGTATTTTACCCCAGGCCTCACTCTCGTAGAGAAGAAGCAAGCCTCCATACACAGAATGTTAAGAGCTCTTCCCTTTTACCTTGACAGGACTTGGCCCTTTTGGGTTTCCCCTAGACTCTTCATCTCTGTTGCAGAAAGAATGAATGGACATCTGATCTCCATCCAGAAATTGTCCAAATGGGTTGCAGGTTGTGTCCTGTGAAGCCTTGGGTGTTCATCTCCCTCCTCCTTTCCCCCCTGAGAGTTATTGTTCATTCCACCAGGGCTCAGTCTACCTCAGTAGCCCTTCTCAAAAATGTACGCATCTTAGACATCTGCAGGGCAGCCACCTGGTCGTTGCTGCATATATTCTACCAGCATTGCACTCTCATGTCTGCCTCCAGGACTGACGTGATGACACTGTCCTACAATCCGTACTGGATCCACTTCCTTCATGCCCTCCTTCTTGATGGAGGTACTACTTGGGAGTCTCCTTATGTGGACCACCCAAAGGACACTACTTGAAGCAGAAGGAGAGGTTACTTACCATGTACAGTAACTTGAGTTCTTTGAGATGTGTGTCCCGATGGGTGCTCCACTACCTGCCCTCCTTCCCCTCTGCCTCAGAGTCTCTTTCTTGGGACTTTTGTGGTTGAGTAAGACCTGGAGTGGCGGCAAGTCTCCTCCTCTCTCTATACTGTTATATCTGGGCATGAGGGTGTCTAGGGCATAGACATAGACCTGGGGAGACAGCTGACAAAAATTTCCGATCAAGAACACGCTGGCGCCTTTGCATAGCTAGACATGGAGCATCCATAGAGATACACATCTTGAACTGAAGTACAGTTCGAGGTAAGTTACCTCTCCTTCATTTTATTTCCCTTCCTTATGTCACACTTTTGCAAATACCTGTTGCTTTTTCTGTTGGACAAAAATACTCTTTTCCCACTGTGTGTAATTAGACTACAGCACTCATTGCCACATGATATTATTGAGGCCAAGAACTTACTAAGATTCAAAAAGGGATTGGATGTTTATATGGATAACAAGAGTATCCAGATTTATTGTACTGAATGCTAACAAATTTTGAAAAGGATATAAAATCTCATGCTTCGGGCTTAAACCAATCTCTGACTATTAAGGATTAGAATGAAATATTTGGGGAGGGACAAGATGATTCCACTTCTCCCTATTGTGGGGTTTCTTGCACTAAACAAAATCTGGTGCTGCCCCCTGTTGGAGATGGCTTACTGGACTAGATAGATCATGGGTCTGATCCAATGTGGCAATTGCTTTGTGCCCAAGAATCTTGACCATGGTTGTGAAAAGAACTAACAGGCAGTCCCAAATTGATTCCACCTTCCCAAGGATGATAGAGCTTTCAAAGTGATTCTGTGACCAAGCTAACAAAAAATTTTTCTTATGTTCCCCTTTCTCTCTTCCTTCATCCCCCTCCAACACTCCAGGTTGAAAGCAAAGGAGAAAGTGAAATAGAGGAAGGTGATAAGGTGCAGGAAGGAGAAAATGAGAGAAATCCAGAAAAGGAGCAAGACAGTGAAGTCACGTCTGATACCAAGTCAGGTAATAGACACCAGCTGTTACTTGAGCTGCATTTTAGTTTTAAAAGCCTTTCTCCAAAGCTGTAAGAATAGACTATAAAGTTAATTGTGGCAGAAATATTTCCTCTCGCACGTTAGGTCTGCAGCTTGGGTCAGCAGTAGATATTCCAGGTCATTTCACAAAAAGCTCAAGTGCTAAATTTATATTGCAATCATTTCAGACTTCAGTTTAGGGACTTTTTTCATCTTGGCTGTAGGGACTGGGTGAGCAGATTGCTAAACTAAAGTGAGCACAAACCATATAAATGAGTTTATTTCCATATTGCTAATCTGTTGGTCCATTCCTAATGTAAAGAAGCAGATGAATGGGACTACTATGAACACAGCTTTGTGCTTTAAAGCTTAACAAGCTTTCTCCGTTTCCTTACGAGGTTGTGCAAATCATTTCATTTGACTGGTTGGGAATAAAGTACTGAAAAATCATAGCATCTTCCTATATTTTAAAATACCATGTCATCTCTTACATGAATCTGATTGTGTCGTATAGATCTGGCACATCTTTTCTGACCGGATTTTTTTCATCAGAATTTTAGGAGAGGACGGAGCAAAACAATAAAAAGGTCTCCATTTGCTTCTCAAAATGGAGATGATCATGGAATTTGTGCATTGGAAATACAACTTACAATTATTTTGATATTAAGACTAAGAAAAAGATGGGGAGAGAAGAGTGCACAGGGGTAGAAAATGAAAGCACTTTAGGAGCATCACCCTTAAGGGTTTGGGGGGGATCCTCTGGGATATACATTTTGTGGAGGTGTTCAAACTGCTTCTGTAGCACTATGTGGAGGAAGTGCTGAGGGGCTATAATAATGTAAAGCACCTAAGTGGGAGTGTTGTAATGTGCTCGTGCATGGGTTTATGCTGTGTGAGCACAGAAGTACGTGCTATGTAAATCCTGTCCCTGGTGTGATGATCATGAAGTGAAGAATGAATGTAAAAAAAATTATTGGGTCATCTCTTTAGAAGAGAAGGAGGCAGAAGAGAACAAGGAAAACGTTGATGCGTGCAAAGACAAGGAAAGCGACGCTGGAAAGAAGAAAGTGGAACACGAAATCTCTGAAGGAAATGTAGCTACAGCTGCAGCTGCTGCTCTTGCCTCAGCTGCCACCAAAGCAAAGGTTTGTCGTACACAAATGTCCACTGCAGCTGATTTCCAGTTTCAATTGGGAAGTATTCAAAAATGGTCCATTGTTCCAAACCACTGGGACTTTAAGTGCTCTTTTGTTTGTTTGTGCTCTTTCACTTCCGCTGTTTGAACACGATCATTAAATGAAATTGTTTCCCTGTGAATAGTTTAATGCTACCATTGTAAACTTACTAAAGTCAGGGTGAGCATCCCCAGAAAAGAATGTCATCTTTTCAATGTGTCACGTGGGCAGTTGTCTCTGCTGGGTGTGCTGTTAGTGGTCAAGGAACAGAATTGGGAGGCAAAATTTGTGGGTTCTCTTCTTGGCTCTGCCACTAATTGTGTGACCTCAGGCAATTCCTTTATCTTCTCTGTACCTGAGTTTCTTCATCAGTAAAACAAGTATAACACTTACATCGCAGGGCAATGTGATAATTATCAAGATCTTTGAGATCCTCACATGAAAGGTCGTCTGTTATTGTTTTTCAGGGCTGGATATTGAGAGAGTGGTATTTTTTCCATTCCATATTTGTGTTAAATGGCCTCTTAAATTTTCCAGCCACAAATCAATGAATTATTTTTCTCAGCCTGCCTTTTTTATGTATATTTTTAAATCCTTTGTTTCTCACGTATTAAGTTGTCTGCAGACTTTACCTAATGAGCCATAGCTTGAATCAGTGTTCCACATGGTAGCTCTGACTTACAGTTTTTATTGTAAATATCTTCTGAGTATCCTGCTTCATTCAATGTATTGAATGTTATACCCTTCTTCCTCCTCCCTCCTCATATTTAAGACATCTCCTCTACTTCCTGGATAATTTGTTTCATTGTAATCCTTTCTCTGTCTTTGTTCTTTTCTCTAACTCTGCTGAATACTAGGCATCACAAACTCCAGATTTTAGTAATAAAATGTATAATTTGGTCCAATTGGGTGGGCCTCAGCACTGAAATTGCTCATACAGTAAAATACCCCAATTAAGTATTGCTGTAGGATGGATATGTGACATTTATCTAGCTCTGTGAGAGACCCTTATTACTGTGACCCCATCGTGTGTGTGGTAGATTATCTGCCACATCACTTGCCTGGTTTGCTTTATGATGATGATTTGTGATTTGTGCTTCATCCCCTTGGGGGGGGGATGCGGGGGGGTGCGTTCATTCGTTCTTTGCAGGTCCCTTGACCCTGCTTGGGATGCATACTTTCCAGTGCTGGATTTCTTTGTCCTGCATTTTTTGACAGTGGCTGAGTAGTCATTGCCATGCTAATGATCCTTAGAAGAGGCAAATATAATACTCTGGTAGAGCAAGGGAAAGCTGTTAGCTCCTCTGGAAAAAAAACTCCAGCTGGTTGCTGCATATTTCTTTGAAACAAACTGACCTCAGAAGAGGAATGGGAGACAGACTGACAGAGCCTCTGGCATCGTGGGGAAGGAAGAAATGAGGGTTCACACAGAGCCCCTGTCTTGTGGGGAGAAAGGAGGACGCTAGGATAAGTTGAGGGATTGGGACAAACAGAACCCCTGATAGCATTTGATTGGAGGAACCTGATATGCTGGGAATAGATCAGGGGTGAGCAAACTACGGCCCGCGGGACCATCCTCACCGGCCCCTGAGCTCCTGGCCCGGGAGGCTCGCCCCTGGCCCCTACCCCACTGTTCCCCCTCCCCCGCAGCCTCAGCTCGCTTGCTCTGCCACCGGCGCAATGCTCTGGGCGGTGGGGCTGTGAGCACTTGGGGCAGCACAGCTGCAGAGCCGGCCTGACCTGGTCTCTGTGCTGCGTGGTGGTGGCGGTGGCATGGCCTGGCTCCAGCCGGGCGGCGCGGCTGTAGCGCCGCCAGCCACCGGTGCTCCAGGCAGCGCGGTAAGGGGACATGGAGCGGGGGAGGGGGTTGGATAGAGGGCAGGGGAGTTTGGGGGGTGGTCAGTGGGTGGGAGTGTGGATAGGGGCCGGGGGGGGAGGAATAGGGGGTTGAATGGGGGCAAAGGTCTGGGGGGGCAGTTCAGGAAGGAGGGGGGGTTGGATGGGGCGGCAGGGGGCAGTCAAGGGCAGGGTTTCCAGGGGCAATCGGGACAGGGAGAAGGGGTGGTTGAATGGGGCAGGGGTCCTGGGGCGGAATGAGAGGAGAGGGGTTGGATGGGGCGGTCAGGGACAGGGGGTGGGGGTGGATGGGGCAGCAGTCCCGGGCAGGGGGGCAGATAGGAGGTGGGGACCGGCCCACAACCCTGTCCCCTAACCGGCCCTCCATACAATTTCCAAAACCCAATGCGGCCCTCAGGCCAAAAAGTTTTCCTGCCCCTGAAACAGACCTTCTTTGGGTGGGGGAGTAGGGGACCACAGAGAGCCCTTGGCAGGAGGGAGAATGGAGCACCATGCCATGGGCAGTAGCGCAGCTAGGGGGGTTCAGGGGAAGCAGCCGCTTCCCCTCAGTACATTTTTCAAAAGCGGCGCCTGCCGGGCCGCCGCTGGGATCCTGCAGGCAAGTGGCGGGGGCAGCACGGTCTGACTCCGGAGGAGCTATTGGAGGGGGGCCGCGGGCGCGGCCAGAGGAGCGAAGGGGCCGGCTCCTCGGCCAACGCGCCCCACGCTCAGCGCGGCCCCAACATCGCCGGGGAGAGGGGATCTGCCCGCCAGCTGCAGAGCGCTCGGCCGCCGAGCCCTGAGCTGCCACAGGAGGCGACCGCGCTGAGTGTGGAGCGTGATGGCTGAGGAGCCCGGCTGCTTTGCTCCTCCGGCTGCGCCCGCCGCCCCTTCAAATGGTTCCTCCAGAGTACGGCCGTGCTGCCCCCCTCCGGGGGGTGTGTGGTGGTGGTGCAGCATGGCCACAGTGTGGCCGGAGGAGGCCGGGCAGGGACGCAGAACGGCCGCAGGAGGAGCCAAGGTGGGGCGTGGCCAGAGGAGGAGCCAAAGGGGGGGGCGCCTATTTTATGGTTGCTCCCCCTGCACTGAGAAGCTGGCTACGCCACTGGCCATGGGGGGAAGATTAGGGGACCTTGGTATGGGAAGAGGAGGTTTTGGAGGGCACACACAAGCCCTACAGGTGGATGATGAGGGAAGTTGTAGGGAGGGTGGCATACGAGGAGCTTGTGGAGGGATTGAGGGAGCCCTGGCATGTGCGGTAAGCTTGGCCAACACAAGTGACATAGTGTGTTTTCCCCCTAGTTTTTAGTGGAGCCTTGGTTCTGGAGGGGCTCAGCAACTCTTGACAGGCAAAACAGTGGGAACTCCTCTCCAGAACTTAGACTTCACTTCCCTTTAAACTAGTCTGTATTCAGGGAGCGCTCTAGATTTTCCTAGCCATAGATGTTCTTACTCTCTTCGGGCATGTGGATGCTGAGGGTGCAAATTTGAAGATCCTGAGTTTGCAGCATCCACGGGGGGAAGTTACAGCACAGCACTTTTGTGTGCACTGCTATTCACACCCCTGTTGTCCAAACTGCAGGTTTGGTCCCTGTTGTTTGTATATATTCCCAGATAATGAGTCATACTCTGACCTCTGTCGTGACTCTGACAATTGTTCAGGTGTGTATGTGTGTAATCTACCTACAGTCTAGGCAGGTTCATTAATATAGGCTTTATCCCCTTCCCCTGAGCATGCTTGTACTCACTTCTGATTAGGTTTAAATTGTTGTGAATTCTTATCTGAGAAAAGGGCACTCTGTCAAGTTAGGGTATGATGATGTCACTAAAATGGGACCGTTTAAACTCTCAAAACTCTTGAATTTGAGACTGCTTTACCTGAATCCAGCAATCTCTTAGGTAGTCACCTGGCACCTTACGGCAATGGTTAGGTTTAAAGTCTTTGAAATGTCATGCATCATTTTATTGAGACTGATCTGAGAAAGGGGATGAAGTCGAAGCTCCATTTACAATTTGTTTGACAAAAACTTTAAAATGTAATATTAAACTGGCATATGGGATTCCCCAATGGTTCGTTTATTAATGTTAGGATTATTTTGAGATGTGAATAAATACCAAGGTGACTTTTTTTCTATCAGCCTTATAAACTCAACCTGAGATCTGAAGATCAAGCTGTTCTTTCTGTCCCTTGCATCATCAATATCAAGGATTAATTCAGAGCTTAAATGTTGATGTCCAAGCCATGGCAGAATCAGATCATGCTTTCATAGCTATGTTAGCACTGCAAGGCTAAAAGGAATAAATGCTTTTAGTAAAGTAAGCAGACAGTGCTCACAAGGAGCAGATATTTTGAGCCATTTAAAGAAGCCATTTAAAAGTCATGTTCTGACACACCTTCTAGATCTCTCTGTTTTAATAACCCTTTGTCTGCTGTGATAACCCACACAATTGTGAAAAAATGACAAGTACACCTTAGTTGTGCTTCTCACGTCTGGAATTCCTTTCTTTCATCGAGTGATGGTAAGATGATAAAAGTATTTTTAATTCTGATCTAATTTCTGTAGAATCTTTTATCTGAGGATCTCAGTGTTGTAACAAACACTAACTAAACTTCACATCATTCATGGGCAATATATTATACCCATTTTACAGATGGCAAAACTGAGGCATGGATATGATTTATGTTGTAGTGTGAAATGCCTTGAGATGCATAATAAGTGCTGCATATGTGCTGTGTGTGAGACTGAGTGTAGTCTTCTGGACTCTTGGTCTGTTAGATACTTATCTATATATTTTCCTTGGGTGCAAAAAAGTAGTGCAGACTGGTAATGGGAGAATGTTACACTATTGGAAGTTCTCCCAATAAACTGGGGTCCTTGCTTCATGATGCCATGACATTTGGTGATAACTCTAGTGAACGTTTCCTTTCAAAACAGATTTTAATATCAAAGGTTCTAAACAGCAACCTAGTTTACATATGCAGTCAGTGCAGTACAAGGGGCTAGATGTCCCGAAGCACTTTACAAAGCAGTCAGAGCATGAAAGGCCTTATTTAAAACCAAATTCTAGTGCTATAATATGGGACTATTTCCCAAAAAGGCGCTGGTGTTGCAGACCATCTGGCTTCATTGTAG